GAAATTGGTGTGTAGGTAAACTGTTTTTAGAAAATTATGCACAATTTAATAACTTATTATTTTAGTTTTTGTTTATTTACAAAAGGTAAAAAATTAGTATGTTTAGAGTAAGTAGGTTAGTTTTTATGAATATGTAAAAATTTCAATATCTTAAAAATATTTTAATTATTAAAACAAAATCTTAAAAAGTGTCTCTTGCGAATTAGAACTCAATTCAAGTCTTGCTACCGAGTTTTTTAATAAAATATTTGGTTAATATAATATTATGGATTTTTATTAATATATTCCACATTATAATAATAAAATTAATAATATTATAATCCATATTATGGATTTAGTCAGGTGGGCATATTGTGTATTTTGCTTATAGCTGGGCTGTACATACAGCCACAGCCCAGTTAAAAGCAAAATACACAATAATTTTATTAATGGTTATTGGAGGCTAATAAGTGCATGTGATGATAAGCATAAATTGGTTTAAATCGACTCACTCAAACATAGCCTTTTTAAACCATGAAATGGCTGAAAATAGTGATTTTTCGAAAACATGAATTTTTATTATATTTTTTTGAACTCTTATCCAATATTATTTGAAAATGTTTTCATTGCTTTTATATAGAGTAAGATCTATGGTAACAAACTACATTAAAAAAATTTTGCTGGCAAGTTGTTCTAAGAATATATGAATTTATAAAATTAGACAATTTTGCCAAAAAATTGCATTTTAAAAAAAATTCCCAAAGGCCATTTAGGGCATCAATAACTAAATGTGTCCTATATGGTTTAAAAGAGAAATATTTTCTTAACAATTAACAGTTTGTTTAATGTCGATAGCTTTATTAGCAAAAAAAGTACAATTTTTTTAAGTTAGGTCTGCATAGTAACTTTTGCGTAGCCCTGTATAAATAGGTGATAGGGGGAGAAAAGAAAAGGGGAGTTTTTTTTACTTCTTGGGTTCATGTCTATTTACAGTTAAAAAAGAAATAAAATTAGAGTATATGAGGTGCACTCATTGGTGGCTAATAAATGGAATTACCCTATATATATATTATATCCATTATGGATAATCCATACATTATATTATAATATAATATGATACATATATGATATATATGATATATAATTATATATATATATATATTATATTTATTTATAATTTATATTATATAAAGTGGCGTTATATTAATTGCAGGCGGCAGGCGACGTTTAAAAATTAAACAATTGCCGGACTTCCTCAAGGATATAAATAATACGTTATTTTTGTTTGTTTTTTAAATGTGTTTATTAATTAGTGAGTTATGAATATTTTCTTACGTTATTAAAATGTCACTTAGGCAGGGTTAAAAGACATCGAAAACTGATGATACTTTAAATGTTTATTTCATTGTTTTTTACACAATAAAAACTTTATAATTTGCTTATTAATGAAATATATGTATGTATGTCCAAATAACACTTATGTTCTTTTTGCGATCTCCAAGGTCGCTTTAAAACTATACAATAAAACTTCGAATAAAACCAAATTATCTTCAAGACAGCCTTAGGATCACCATAAAGCAGCTTCTAGTCAAAAAGGTCCCATCCTAAAAGGGTCTTAAAGATTAAATTTTAAAACTATAGTAAAACCAATTTTTTTAAATTTTATATTATTAAAAATTTCTTCAAAGCAACTTTAAATTTATGTACTTATTAACTGATGTTTTTCCTTTATACCTGCAGGCTGCAGCAGACTAATTTAGTCTCAAGGTAATTTACCTTGAGAATCATTGTAATTAACAACAATTAACAAGTCTTTATGACGCCATATATGTATATAGAGCAGATCATAAATAATATTCAAATGCAAACTATTCTACTAAAGAATTTAACAACGGGTGGCACTTTTCTAAAAAAATAAAATAAAATACTTCTACATAAATATCATAAAAATTTTTGTTTGGACACACTTCAGTTTTTAGGACGCATATACTTCAATAATATTTTTTTTTCTTTGGCCATCATGGCTAAGTCTGTATTTTATATAAAACATGTCGCGATCTAGATTAAAACTGATTGCAAGTTTATGGAACATTATAAATCTAACAAGACCTAAAACAGCGTTTTATTTACCACTTTAAGTAAAATTACTTTCGTCCATTAATTATTCATTTTTAAACTGAGTTGCTCTAAAATGTTTAAACTTTTGGCCTTATTAAATGGTCTGGCGCGCGAATAAAAAATTCACTAAATGCAGCAATCACAAAATCGGCACAATTTGAAGGTTCATAACCTTGTGAATTTTCTCCCAATGAGGGGGGTTAGAATTAGTTTTAATAAAGTCGTCAAAAACTAATAGGCATTTCTTTTAACCAGATTGACTAAATTGAAACCTTTTAGCTTTAAAATAAACTTAATACTTTAAAACGTAAAAATTATGTTTTTGGATTTAATGTGGAATTTTATAAGATAAACCAGTTTTCTTAGTAGATTTTAACGAGTACATTAAGGGTCGTACTCCATAAAACTACTCTCTTAAAATGAATTAGTCAAAAATAACTAATTATAAGTCATATTTTACTAATTGTCATAGCGAAAAAGCAGTCACTAATAACAAGTAGGGAGGTGAAAATATCACAGCTTAACGCTCGGACACGTAAACCTAATTTTTGGTCGTAGATTCCGTGCTTGGTTTAGCTGAATGAGGTCAAAATTCAAAGATATTGTATTTTCATGTTTCCATTAGGAAAAACATTGAGGATATTATATTAAACGAAATAAAAAGCATAGGAATGTTGGAATGTTAGTTTGCCAATAGGAAACACTTTTTTAGACCTGATACAGCTAAACCGAGCACGGATTTGGAATCCACGACCAAAAATTATGTTTATGTGTCCGAGGGTTTAGCTGTGATATTTTAAGAGTTAAAAATTTACCTTTCGTTTAATTAATCAAATTCTACTGAATGAAATAGTCAAATTACTAGATTTAAATTTAAAAAAGTTTTGAACCAGCCGGGGTTTGAACTCGCTTGTCAAGCGGATTAAAGAAATAGGTTCCTTTTAACTCTCGATTAAAGAAATAAGTTACTTTTAACTCTCATAAACAAAGATGGTAACTTATCTTAAATTAGTCAAAATTTAACTATTTAAGTCATAGGCGTGCGCACGGGGGGCACCCTAATTCTTTGACGAAAAAAAAAAATAGTTTTTCACTTTATGGTTTATTATTAGTTTTATCGAGGAACCCGTAATATTTTATATGGTTCCGCCATTTGTTAATAATATTATCAATGTCAGATGTTGTAAACGGTATAATAAATAAACGGTATTATAATAAAGCCAGATTGTTAATTAAAATGGTTTTACTAATGTTCTTTTACATTTAATTAATCAATGTACAGGGTGTCCCAGAATATGTGGACAATCTTCAGGATTCAAATAGAACACATAAAAATAATATGACAAGTTCCAATTTTTTTCCTACGGCCCCCTCTACAGAGATACAGTCACCTCTGGAAATCATTTTGAACTACTAGGTGGAATTTAATAATTTTTTAATATATTGTTTACCAGGAAAGTTTCCTTAAAATGGGCACTTTTAATCACATTCGCCTTATTTAGTTTTTCAGGGACGGACTAAAGGCAAAACAATAATATGTTTCGTCAGATTAAACCATAAACTAAAAAAAGTTACTCTTGATCGACGATCGATAAAATGTACTGTTTACGAAAAAAAAATGCTTTTGTACAATAGGGTTTGTTGAATTTGTTTTTATCTTTTTTGCAATGTTTTTTTTACATTTCCCGGCCTACAGCCTGCAGCAGCTTGCAGTGGGCTGCGATATAGAAAAAGAACCGGTATTGCCTGCCGTCTCTATATTATAATATATTTCATTGAATCAATGAAAAAGCCTTTGCCTATGATTTAAGTAGTAAAAAATAACTATGTAAAAGTGAAAACGACTATTTTAGTAGTAAACAATGCTGGAACTAATTCAAATAGTAGAAATTTGACTATTTCATTTTAAGAGAGTATATTAAAACTATTTGTTCCAAAATGGATTGTTTTAAAACCAACTTGCTATTTAATCCTTTAAAAATGCAAATTTGTTTAAAAATAGCCAATTTTGAGAGTATTATCAAACCAGAATAACAACAATAGAACATTAAGAGCAAATAGTAATATATTTTATCTACTCCCCCATTGATCAGCTTTGATTTTATAGCGTTTTAGTCACGGGCTGAAGTTAGCAACAGTGGCTTTTTGGCATTTTAGTCACGGGCTGAAGTTTGCTTTACTATAAATTGGGAAAAAGTGAGGTTAAATCCGTTGACAGTTGACAGACGTCAAATTTTTAACAAATAAATTTGGGTTTAAATTGTTCTTTGTGTTCGTCGTATACGCGTAAATAAAGTATGGTATGCAACTCGTTTTATAAACTTCTCCAGACACTCGTTTTATTAAACACTCGCTCGCAAGCTTCGCTCGTGCCTTATAAAACTAAAATGTCCTTTATAAAACTTGATACATAATATACTATTAATTTAAAGAGTACATTAAATTATTTGCATAGGATTAGGTGGTCTTTAGAACTTTTAGTTTATCTTAAGGTAGGTAACTTTAAAACCAATAATGTTTCATTAAAAATATTAAAGCACTTTTAAACCCTAAATAAATCAAAAGTATCTTACAATTGTTACTTGACATATGTCACAATACGCAATTTTACACTATACCAAAAAGGTATTTTGCGTTTTTTGTAAAACTATCCATTTAAATGATCGGAGGTTAAAGTTTAAAATATATAAAATAATTAAAAGTATTTCCATGTAGGCAGGGTTGACAAAATCAAAAATAATATTTTTTTAAATTTATTTAGGCTTAACAAAAGCACTTATATATGGGTCATTACCCTGGTTGCCCAATAGTAATTTCGGCCCTGTGTACACGTACTTTCGAGGCTTTATTTCTCTATTTAGTAATCTACATGGAGTTTACCAATTATAGCCCTTTGGTTTTAGGTATTGGTATTAGCAGCGCGGTAGTGTCATTCAACGTAGCATTATACTACAACACAATTATTGCATGGTGCCTGTTCTATTTAGCGCAAAGTTTTCAATCCCAGTTGCCCTGGGCAGAATGTCCCAACGTCTATTTTCTAAATGGATCCTACACAACGGAACCGGAATGTGTGGTGAGTAATTATATTAATATTTACTGAGTAATTATATTAATATTTACTGTTTAGCATGGTTATTGAGGTTTAAAAAACCGTTGGGCTTTAATACATAATACTGCGTCTTACCACTTAAGATCCTCTAACTCGACAAGACCACTTTGCATTGACGATTAAAATTATTAGGATCAGAGATAAGACCCCTTGAGCTAAAGCTTTCATTTAATTTTTTTCTACATTTTTGCAAAAAACTATTATTATTTGTTTTGGTGATATTTTTGAAGAAGAATCACGGTAATCAGTAAAAATAGTTATTAATATTGCAATAGAGTTAGTTATAGTTTTAATTAGTTTAATTTTGTTAATTTTCTTTCAATAAATTTACAATGTTTTGTATTTTTAATTCACTGGAAAAATATAAATACCACTTATGCTTAAAAATAAACTAGATAATTATAAACGGCCACCCCCTGATATTTCACGCATGCATTGTTGTAAGAATGTAACAGGTACTGAATTATTAAGTGAAAATTCAAAAATTATAATGGAAATACCACGTTGCTATGACAACGGTTTATTTGCATCTTAAACAAAAAACTATTTTTTCCATGTTTTTGCACAAAAACCGTTAAAATGAATCGTTTTGGTGAATCGAGAAGAAAAAACAAGGTGAAAAGTAAAAATGGTTAATAATATTGGAATATAGTTGATTTGATATATTATTCTTAATTTTTTAAATTTATTAATTTTTGGTATTTTAGTAGGTATTTCCCACTCAAGAAATATTAACCCCGAAAATACCTCAAAACAATCTTGTTTTAGCCCAATTATTTTTAAATGCAAAACAAAATTAGATAAATGTTTATTTTAAAAATATTATTTTTAAAATTAACATTCCTTAAACTAAATTAAATTAATGAATAATGACCTCATTTATTAACTGTTTTAATGCTTTACAGGCGAGCAGCCCAACACAATACTTCTGGTATAGGACTACGCTAATGGTTTCGGAGGATATCAATACTCCAGAATCATTTAATTGGAAAATAGCGATCGCCCTGCTTGTAGCCTGGATATTGGTTTATATGTGCATGATAAAGGGAATTGCATCGTCAGGAAAAGTTGTTTACGTAACCGCTACATTTCCTTACATCGTTTTGATAATATTCTTTTTTCGCGGAATAACCTTGAAAGGTGCCGGAGATGGAATTCGACATCTTTTCACGCCTTCATGGCACACTATTTTGGATCCAGTGGTGTGGTTGGAAGCGGGAACGCAAATATTTTTTTCGCTCGGACTTGCCTTTGGAGGCCTTATCGCATTTTCTTCATACAATCCCGTCAATAACAACTGCTACAGAGACGCAATCATGGTTTCTATGACTAATTGCTTCACGTCAATGTTTGCAGGGATTGTTGTATTTTCCATTATTGGTTTTAAAGCTACTATGGTATACGAAAAGTGTTTAGACACTAGAAATGAAACTCTTACCAAATTGTTCGGAGAGCATGATTTGGTCGAAAACGCTTTGCCTCCGCCAGGAACTCTTATCAATATAACATCAATTGATGGCATTGTCAAAAATTTTATTATGCCTGTTTTGCCTATTTGCGACTTGGAAAAGGAATTGGATAACGTAAGTTTTTTTCAAATTTAGCAAAAATATTATAAGTTTGTTATTTTAATTGCAAAAGGAATTTTGTTAAAAACATTTTCAAATGCATTTAATCAAAAAATCGACTAATTATACATAATACATAAGAATGTGATGCACTAATAATATGTTTAAAGCAGTCAAAAAAAGAACGAATAATAAACCATTCATTTTAACTTAAAAAAAAATAGGTTTATTTTCTACATTTACTGTAAAGTTTTATAAAATATAAGTTAGTTAATGTAGTAAAAAAGTAATAAATAAACGTTAACATACAAAGTAATGAGCTGTTTTATGTAGTAAAATATCTTTCTATTTTGGTTTAAAATACAAACATAAAAACACAAGAAGCCATACGTCCAATCCATTACTCTGCGAGCACAATGGAATAATGAAAATACAAGATTGAATAAAACTGCCATCATTCACTTTAAAGAGTGTAGTGGAAATCATCTACTGGTTTAGTAATTTCGACTGTAAACTAAAGACGCGTCGTTTATACATTCTTATTCTAATCTAAAGTCTTTTTGTCTCAAGTTTTGATTAAAAGGTTACAGAGCAACACAAAATAAAAAAATAATAGTCTAATGGTACTTAAAAGTAAATAATATTGAAAGGATTTTAATATATTTATTAAAAATACCAATAGTTTTAAATAATACAATTGAAAACTTTAATTTTAATTTTAATTTATTCTTTGCAGTCTGCTTCTGGAACGGGACTGGCTTTTATCATATTTACCGAAGCAATAAATCAATTTCCAGGAGCGCAATTTTGGTCGGTGTTATTTTTTCTGATGCTGTTCACGTTGGGAATTGATTCACAATTCGGAACTTTAGAGGGCGTCGTTACTTCGATTGTTGACATGAAATTACTACCAAACCTTCCCAAGGAGATACTGACCGGCGCTCTTTGCCTAACTTGTTGCGTTATCTCGATGGCCTTTGCCCACGGAGCTGGAAGTTACGTGTTTGTGCTTTTCGATAACTTCAGCGGAAACTTTCCGCTACTTATCATCGCCTTGTTTGAGTGCATCGGAGTTTCTTACGTCTATGGACTCAAGAGGCAAGTTAAATATATTTTTTAAATATACTGAAATAGATTTAAAACATGTAATATGCTCCTCAATAGGAGATCTTTTAATTTTTCTGACGTATATAATCTACTCGTACAAGCCCTAACAACTATACATGTATGTATGTGTCCCTTATTTCCAAAGTTGGCTTTTTTACTTGGGTATCATCTAAATTATTTGTTTACAGTCTAAAAACAATTTTGAAGTTTTTTTTCGATAAATAAATGATAATACTTTTTTAATTTTATAACCCTCTAAATAATAATAATGCTTATATGTATACAAAACATATGTTTGTAAAAAGTTTAACGCTCTATAAAAAGGGTTTTATGTTTTTTTTTTTAAACCGGCATCGGGAAAAAATAAAAAAACTCAAAAATTGTTTTTAGGCTGTAAACAAATGACGAATTTAAAATAAAAAGCCAACTTGGGAAATAACAGACATCCTAATGTATAAGTATGTGTGGACAATGTACGAAATGTTAAAAAAATATATTTATATTAAATTGAACTGTTTTTATGTCTTTAGACCAAAAGATCGTTACATATGTATAGGTACTCTTTATGTATGTACCGAACGTAAAGTCTGATCTTAAGAAATTATTTTTTTATTTTGCATAATCATAATATATATATTTAATAAATGGTTGTTTTTAGTGACTAATCTTAATAATAGAAGTAGTTTTACATCATGTCCTAATCTATTTATCTTGTTAGCAAATTTGTTACATTTTTGTTAATTTGTTATAACATAAATATTATTTATGTTATAACAAATTAACAAAAATGTAACAAATTTGCTAAAAAGATAAATAGATTAGGACATGATGTAAAACTACTTCTATTATTAAGATTAGTCACTAAAAACAACCATATCTACCTTTAATAGACGATTTTTTCCTTAAAAATAAATTTGAAAATCGATAAATTTTCTAGATGCTTGAAGTCACGATATTGTAATATAAATGTTATTTTGAATAATAAAGATAAGGATCTTGGCGTGATATTTGATCCTGAATTAAAATTTGCAAACCATATTGACCATATTGTGCAAGCTGATTCAAAAATGTTTGAGAACACAGATTGTCTTGAAACTCTTTTTAACGCTTTTGTTAGATCTAAATTGGAGTATGCTTGTATAGTCTGATCTCCTTACTATAAAAAACATTAAATAGCAATTGAGCGAGTACAGAGAATTTTCGTAAAATATTTATATAAAAAACATTTGGTATTTAATCAAGATCAAGGTTTTAATAATGGCATATTATTGAACTCCTTAGAAATGTAGAGTTTGAGAGAGAGACGCTTTATTTTTCACTGATTTTATATAGGTATAGCATTCTTAACTACAAGACTGATTGTTTGTATATTTTGGGAAATATCAATTTTCTTGTCCCAAGACTGTCTGTGAGAGATTCATTATTATCCACATTGTGTCTCTACTAACATATTATATGCGTCTTCAATTTTTTGAATGCGTTGTTTTTATAATAAAATATATACCTATATTTTTTATTCACACAGCCAGCAAAACTCTGTGATCAATTTTCTGTGATGTTTAATGTAGCCTAAATTGTTTTATTTATACTATTTTGTTAAAATTTAACATAATTTTAAGTGTAGGTTTGCTTAATATTACAATTTATTTATTTTACCATGTAATTGGTCCTGTACTCTTGGGTTACGTGTTACGTTTTACGACTGAAGTATATACAAAAACAAAAAATCCGAACATAACCAAATTCTTTAATAGTTATAATCTTTTTACTTGTTATAAACCCATTAACAGCATATTTTAGCATGCACTTTTCCTCGAATTTTAAACGATTTGTATACTTCAAAGAATATTGAACAACTTAGAAACCATGCTATAAAGAGATTTTGGTTTTATTCATAATTCTTGCCAATTCTGTTATCACATAGTGAGGTCATCAAATCGTTTTGTATCTTGCGGTTTTTAAAACGTTGTAACGTTCTCAAAATTATAATAGCATACTCGTATGCGTAAATTACAAATAATCAATAATTCCTTCATCTTTCTAGATCACATTGGCCTGATTGAAAACAAAAAATTGTATGCTACATTTTCATGTCCTTTTTTAAATTATTATTATTATTCTTAATATTTGAATTATTTTTTACCAATGATTAAATAAAATTAAAATCAATCTCGCCTGTTGCCTCGAGACATAAACATCATCCTCGTGAATAATAGCCTGAATAGCCGTATATCCACTTTTCTTATAGGCAAAGAAAAAATCATTATTAGCTATTATTAAAGATTTATTGAAACAAAAAAACGTTTGTCAAAATCAAAAAAAAAAAATCCTGGACAAGGAAATGTGGAATAATGTTATCTTCAGCGACGGATCAAAATTTAAAATAAAATGAAAAGGGTAAAAATCAACATCTGTACTTAAACCGTACCATTGGGTCATGATATGGGCACAGCATAAGGATATCCATATCCTGTGATGTAGAAGTAGTAAAGGGGTTGGCAAAAATGAGTTTCTTGTAAATGCAAAAAGTACCAACAAATTTTTAAGAAGAAGTTTAATTTGAACAGCAGAACGAAATGTGGATGAATGTCACTCGGGATGAAAAAGTTTTTGCGTAACCAGCATTAAAAGGAAATATCACGCAAATTTAAAACTCTTTCACCCCTGAATATTGCCAGACTTAAGATGATTCCAAACAAAATGAATTTTAATTTTAAAACTTAAAACTTATACCTACCTAACAATTTTTTTTTTATTTAAAAATAACCCTATACAACGTGCTATACCGTTGCAAAGCGTTTTTTACACAAAAAACATTTTCCACAAAAAAAGTAAAATTACTTTTTCTAGAAATTTTTCTAACGATCAGATTTTATTTTAGGTAAAATGTATGTAAATTTAAATTAAATATAAAAATATTTTGTCCCACAAAGTAAGCTATTGTTACACTAGTTAAATAATGAAAATACTGTTCCTTAGTGGAATAATAAAAGAAAAAGAAGACAATTGTAAACAATAAATTACAGCTTTTTTACATACAGATAATACATAATTACGTAATAAAATTTTAAATATTGTTTACATATTTGGAATTCAATTTTAAAGGCATCTAATTCCAGAAATCCATAAAAACCAATTTTAGAAAACTTAACCTCAAAATCAAAACACCACCTGTCAATAAGGTCAAATATTTTTATATTTGATTTAATTGTGGGAGGAAAAAATATTTGAAACTCGTTAAGAATGGTAGATTATGAATTCGAATTCTTGCCAACAAATTTCGTTCATCGTCCGATTTTAGTTGTGATAATTTGTATATTTTCATAATAATGTACATACCAAGTGTTTTTAATACATTTTAAAAGCGCCTCTACATTTTTGATTATAAATTTATTTAACATTCCATTTAAAAATTATTAGGTGTTCCATCAAATTCTTAAGTCGCTGACTCCAAATCCAATTAAATTCTAAATTTAGCTCTACTAGCATACATTTTCCGTAGTTTTTAGTAATATAGTATTTTTTTTAGATTTGCTGATGACATAGAAATGATGACTGGTTCCCGCCCTGGTCTATATTGGTTGATATGTTGGAAATACTTATCGCCCCTTGCGATGATCTCGATTTTGGTGGCAAGTTTCGTGGAAATAGCAGTAGATGGATCTGGATATGATGCTTGGGTGCCTTCCAAAGGCGAGACTGTAAAACACGAATGGCCCACTTGGGGAATCCTTCTTAGTGTATTTTTGGTACTGGCTTCTGTACTTTGGATTCCTGGTGCTGCTATTGCAAGGTAAATAATATTTATTGAATTTGTTTTTGATATACTGGGTGTTTAAGTTTTTTGTCTTATAATTTTAAAATTAATGCCTAAAGTGTATAAACATAGGTCGTTAATTGCTCAGTTTTTAAGATACAAAGTGTTTAAATTAAATGTTATTAACATATTTAAACGTATTGCATTATTATTATCACTACTTGTTTTAACTCTAACCTATTTTTTGCAAAAACAAACATTTTAGGTTAACTGACATTTGTCGTCTGTCCCAAGAGTCTCGTTAAACAAAACCTACTCGAATTAATTAATAGGCTATTAATAGCCTTCATTAAGGCAATTCATTTCAAGTGTTTTTAAAATTTTGTCTTTTATGTGGTGTAATCGCTTCTTTGTTCCAAAAAAATAATTCTGTCAAATTTTTAATACTAAATATTAATATTAAAGGGTGCCACCAAGCATGTATTTAAAAATGGGGCATTTAACTTTAAGATATTAAAGTTGTTCAATTTTATTTTAATTTGGCTATTTATATTATACCTTAAAGTGACTTAAGCATTGATTTTTTTGGATTTCGAAGTCTGGGGCCGCGCTACGAGTTTTTGAAGTTTTTGATAAAGATAGCGGATTTTGTTTATTGAACATACAGAAACTTGTAAAAATGGTAGTTCACGCCAAAGTAATGCAAAAGTGAAAAATCTTGCTTACTTTGTCTGGATCTATCATACCTTCAAGGGATGACAACTTATTACATAACACCTTGTATTTAATAGAAGTCCTTTGTACTTGCGAAAAATCTTTTATGTTCCTAGTTGCAATATGCAGTTCTTGTATTTATTGATGAATATCTTTATGTATGTAATTCTTCTGTACATGTGCATATCATTGAACTCCTCCTAATCGGCTGGACCGTTATTAATGGTTTAGATTGTATGTATTCAACAAAAAAGTTTGATTAGTTTGTATTTATTTTTAATAAATTAGCAGTTAAGCGGTGTAACTTACATCTTATGCATTTATAATAATAATTGATTGATTGATCTTCTTTATATTTTGTTAAACTTTTATATTTCTAATTTAATTCTTCTATTTTCGACATTTTTAATACTGGAAACCCTTAGTTATGTAGCCGTAACACAAATTTTGGTAGTGAGTTCAAATCTTACCTTCGGCAACTTTCGTTAATTTTTTACCACAATAAATGTAGTATATTAAAAAAACTGAAATATCTTAAATATTTAAATTTTTATAATGTAAATTTCTTAAATTCATAACAAACTGCACTAAAGGATAATTCGCCGAAAAATTTTGGGGTACAATAAATAGTTTCATTATTGATAATAAAAGAAAAAATAACAAAGTTTGCAAGTCTAGCATGATTTTTGTAAAACAAAATCTTTATTATATATTTTTTTTTAATGAGGATTATCAAACCTGAACGGAGTTTTTCCAAATCTTAAAGTAAAGCTTGGTGAAGATAGGTCGTTGACATGCAAATAATGTGGAAAATATCAAAATTGGTCTCCCTAAAATTGACCTGTTTAAGGTTTTTTCCAGTCGGTTTATACTTTTTAAAATTTACGGTGACATATTTTTTATATGGTTAGTTTGTATAGAGCATAGCCCTCTTTTTTTTGTCTGCTAGTTTTGACCTACATATTTTATTATTTTTATGGATACTTCTACTAAACGTAAAAGGGGCTCATTTATGATTTTTTTATTGTAGTTTGTAAACTTTTAATTATAGGTCAAAAACTTAAAAAAGCAATTTTATAATACCATGTTCTACACCCAAAAGTCCTCACTTGTCATTTGAATAAAAATAATTGAGGTTATGTATCTCTTAGTTTTACGCAAATTTTGTCTTATTTTGTTACAATAATACAATATATGTTTTTCTTGTATATAAAAGTCCTAATTTAGAGGGAATTTTAATTAAAATACAGACTTTTTTGACTGCAGTTTTTTTGTTTTAACCCGTAACCGGTACGGTACGACTTTTAGGTCATAAACGGTACTAAGGGGTCTGAGAGAAACCTGCCTTTTAAAATTATAATTTATATTATTTTTTTTATCTGAGGCTTTGGGGATACTAGGAACTGTATACAAAGTTAGAATATCACCAAAAATAATACCTAAATAAAAGAAAAATTTAAACAAATAGGTTTTAATCAAAACATGTACAAAAAGTGCAGTAGTGCAAACTTTGTGATTAAACTATAAAAAATATTAAACCAAACAAAATAAAACGATCTTTATTTCGAAGAATATACCTTAAAAAATAAAACAAAAAAAATTCTTTTTTAACAGCAAAAATAACTGCTCTGTTTTTTTTCAAATTCTTAAAAAATTTCAAATTCTTCTCTATCTGACCCTATAAAATTATTTAGAGACTCTTCACAGACAAGTCCTGAATCGCTGCTGTGATTATCTTCAACGACATAATCACTATAATGGTTATATAGTATATTTCAGTCATCTATATCACTTATATCGCTGTCGATTTCATAAAACCACTACATTACAGTTTCCACAGTGTCCCTGAACGAAGTTTAGGTCACATAAAATTGACGCCAAAAACTGATTGCAGTTTCTTGTTCGGGACCCTTTGGTGACTTAAAAATGATATTTACCAAAATCCTAGCTGATCCTCTTTTCGAAATTTTTTGAAAATTCATGATTTTTTTTTAAATTTTTGTCTACCTTTGACAGAGTACACATTTGTACACTGACTTTAATAATATTGGAGTATATTGTTAAGGAGATTTGGAGAATACTGTTTATACTGTGCACATCATTTAATATATACAGGGTTCGCCAAAAATTGCTTCTTTTAAAAAAGCAAAAGCGTAAATTCATGATTTTGGCATCACGCAAAAAAGATATATACCCACCCATATTTTTTTAGATATTTTTATGTTTATCAGGCTACAGAATGGGATTCTTATCAAAACTTTATAAGAAAAATTGATTTTGAATAAAATTAAATAAAATAATTTTTTTTGGAGATAAATCTGTTTTGTGCATTATACTTTTTACTATATAAAAACGTGATTTTTGGCTAATCCTGTATAAATCTAATGATGTGCTCAGTATGAAAACAGTATTCTCCAAGTCTCGTTAACAATATACTCCAATATTATAAAAATTGTTGTACAAATGTGTACTCTTTCAAAGGTAAGATAAACAAAAATTAAAAAAAAATTAAGAATTTTCAAAAAATTCGAAAAGAGGAGCAGCTAGGATTTTGTTAAATATCATTTTAAAGTTACCAAAGGGTCCCGAACAAGAAACTGCAATAAATAAAAATCGGTGTACAAATCTGTACTCTGGCAAAGGTAGACTTTGCGATAAACAAATAATTAAAAAAAAATTATTTTTTAACAAATTTAAAGAAAAGCAGTTAGAATTTTGGTAAATACCGTTTTTAAATCTACAAAGAGTGCCGATCAAAAAACTTTAACCAGTTTTTCGTTCAAAATTGAAAACTTCTAAAAAGCCTAAATTAAACAACATTTTAAATATTCTCTAAGCGTTATTTTATTTAATTTTATTAAAAATCTATTTTTTTAATAAAAGGTTAATAAGAATGCCCTTTTGTAACCTAATAAACATAGAAATATCAAAAAAAAAATGGGAATACATCTGTTTTGCTTGTTATGCCAAAATCATGAATTTACGCTTTTGCTTTATTAAAATTAAGCGATTTTTGGTCCACCCTGTATATATCAAATGATGTGAACATTATTAAAAAGTATTCTTTAAGTTTCCTCAATAATATACTCTAATTTTATAAAAATCGGTGTACAAATGTGTACTCTGTGAAAGGTAGACTTTGAAATAAACAAAAATTTAAAAAAAAAATCATAAATTTTGAAAAAATTTCGAAAAAAGTATCAGCTTGGATTTTGGTAAATATCATTTTTAATTCACCAAAGGGTCCCGAACAAGAAACTGGCGTCATTTTTATGTGACTTAAACTTCGTTCAGGGACACTGTGTTTCCTTGAAGCCTTTCTTATCACTTTGGAAACTTTTAGAAAGTTCTTGTTGCGAATCCATAAGGAATTAATTGTTTTATAAAAATTACGTAAAAGGTACACAGTGGTCTACTAGACACCTCAACACTTTGACTCGTAATAATTTGTCCGTTTGACAATCTAACTTGTTCAAAGTCTCAGAGCATATTGATAACTGCTCAACTTAAAAGTATTGGAAGCGACAGGTGAGGGTGTGACAGCGCTTTGTTTGTTGATGAGTGTCTCCCAGACACCACAGTACCGGTTACGGGTTATTTAATATTAATTCATAACAAGAAACTCAGCTGGTTTCTCTGTGGTCGGCCCTTACAAAATTCACGAACAAATAACGACAATTTACAAAATCATCTATAGATATTATAATATTAAGGCTAAGGATATGAAAAAATTGTCTATTTATTGTTTGGAATTACTACCTACAAGAGATCTTTCTATTATTTCCTATTTTCCACCAAAAAGACTGCGAAATTGCCGAATAATCCTTAAAAGTTTTACTAAAATAAATTAATAAACTCTTTTGTCTATGATATTGGCTGAAATTTGCTACTGCTTCAGTCGGTAATGGTCGGCAGCTAATAAATCTTAAAAAAAGCCGACTAATTAATTTATAGAAAAATAAGGAATCCTTAATATATTTTCAAATAAAACATTTTCAGAAAATGCCGACTTTTCGCAAAAATGTTCTGCCCAATCATAGGAAATATTGAACTATTGGTATTATTAGACTCCTACATGACGCCCCTGGCAATATATTTCCAGTATATATTTCAATATACGCTAAAGAAGAACTTGGCCGTTATCATCGTAACAAAACTACAACTTTTGATAATCATCAGATTCTGTCAAACGCTTGTGTTACAAACGAGTGTTTTTGAGAATAAAGCCGGAAAATGTTAAAAAATATCGAGAAAAAAAAACAGTGGCACGATTTGTTGTGTTGTTGGGTGTTTTTCGAGAGAAAATCCTGGGTTGAGTTTTT